TCCGATGTCCGTGGCTTCTGTATGGCAAACTTTCGTAGACGAATTACCGACGGTTGGTAATTTCACCATTCCACGTTGGATCGGGTTACATTCAAATGCCCGATATTCCCTTCATGGCTTCTGCGATGCCTCGATCAAGGCCTACGCAGCTGTGGTTTACATTCGCGTCGAATCACCAGACGCCACTACGAGCATGCTTCTCACAAGTAAAACTCGTGTAGCCCCCCTCAAGCAGGTATCCTTACCACGATTGGAACTTTGTGGAGCTGTCTTACTAGCCCGTCTCATGTCACACTCAGCTTCCATACCTGTGTATGCCTCATGTGAACGACACTGCTGGACCGACGCATCGCTTGTTCTCACCTGGTTGAGCGCGCAGTCTTCCAAATGGAAAACGTTTATCGCCAACCGTGTGGCTGAAATACACACGCTGTTACCCGATGTCAATTGGCGACATGTCCCCGGCGTTGACAACCCGGCGGATCTCGCTTCTCGTGGAGTTTCGGCATTGGCAATCGAACACAATGATTTGTGATGGTATGGCCCCACTTGGCTGGTCGCTCCGGAGGCTGAATGGCCGTCCTTGGAACCCACGCCTATCGACGAATCCGTGTTGGAAGCTCGGACTGTTCCCGTTGCACTCGCTATTCAACAGTCTAACTCCACATTGGATCGATTTTCTTCATGGCCACATATGATACGGGTGTGCGCAATTATATTACGTTGGTCCAAAAAATGGAATGTCCAGAGTACCACGCGCGTAACGATCACGCCTAACGCTGAAGAGCTGACGCGGGTTTCGCACCGCATTTTTTTATCTCCTACAACAAACCCAATTCGCGATGGAAATTGCTATCTTGAAGCATCAACAACCCAACGCCACCTTACCACGGACATCTGCACTACGGCGTCTAAACTCGAAACTTGGAACCGATGGATTTCTACGCGTCGGGAGTCGCGTGACACCTCGTGGTACCTCTCAAAGTACCACGGGGTTCCCTATCATTTTGAGGTCCTGCCCCATCATACGTCTCTTGGTGCTCGATGCCCATCAACGATGCTTGCATGGTGGCATATCATTAACACTAGCAACCCTCCGATGCATGGTCTGGCTCATCCAGGCGAGAAAGGTCGTGAAATCTGTCGTGTATAATTGTCTCACCTGTGCTCGTATACGCGCCGAGCTGCCGACACAGCTCATGGGTTCTTTGCCACCGGCCCGAATAACTCGCCCACATCGTCCGTTCACAATATGTGGCGTAGATTATGCTGGTCCAATCGCGGTTCGCATGGCGGGCGGTCGCGGTATTCGATCTCAGCGTTCGTATATTGCATTATTTATTTGCATAGCGACTAAGGCCAACCATTTAGAAGTGGTCACTACGTTGTCCACCGATGCCTTTTTCGCCGCATTCGTCAGGTTTTCCTCATGCAGAGGTTTACCAAGCCAAGTGTACAGCGACAATGGCACAAATTTTCAAGGAGCTGATAAAAAGGTAAGCACCGCGTTTCGACTTGCGACACACAGTCCCGAATTGCATCGACGTCTTGCCGAGGATAGAGTTGAGTGGCATTTCATTCTACCAGCTGCCCCCCACTTCGGTGGTCTATGGGAGGCTGGTGTGAAATCCCTCAAACACTACCTTACGCGAGTTCTGGTTGATCGAACACCAACTTACGAAGAGCTTAGCACTCTCCTCTGCAGGATTGAAGCGTGTTTAAATTTGAGACCGCTAGCTCCGCTTCTTGATGATCCTGAAAGCTTGGATACATTAACACCTGCTCACTTCCTTGTCGGCGGTCCATTATCTGCGCTTC